TTTCCATTTATTTCAATATGGCCTAAACTAGACTGTCTTAATTTTAACTTTATTTCTGTTATTTCCTTAAGTGTTTATCTGAAAATCTTTGAGTTCACTAATGCACAATGACACTAATGATACAGTTCAGTTTTGAACCTCACTTTATGTATAAATTTGCAGAAATCCAGCTGACTCTTGTATATGGAATTTTCAACTGAATAATTTACTAGAATAATTTACTAGAATAATTTTACTCTACATTAATCAAATGTCATAATGTGTGCTTTAAATCAAAACTCATTGCATTGAAAAAAATCTTTTAATGTGCTCTGATTCACACTTTTATTTCTTTGCACTAATGTAGCAAAAATTATAAAAATTATACAGAACATACTACATTCCCAAAAGATGAACAAAAGTTTGTAAAATGTAAAGAAATAGCTGAAAAACAAAGTTTTAATTTTATTTTTATCTTAAAAAACATCCTGTATTGAGTCACTTTATAAAGTTCTGGTGACAATTTTCTATATGCTACCTTTAGAAAACAGTAGGTATTATTACAATGTTTGAATGTCATATTCATGAAGATCAAACTTGTAAATATATATTTTCTTGCTGTTATAACATTTCTGTTGCTGTAAAATTACGTTTCATGACTTGGAAACACAAATTTAAAATATAATGTATGCAAATGTAGACCTGAATAAGTGCTTTTATGGCTGTTAAGAATTCAGAATTTAACAAAAATTGTTACCAAAATTAGCAAATGTTAACATTCGTATTAAGAATATAAAATAAATGTGTTGTTTATGATAAAGCAAAACTATCACGTAAAGCCACGTTAGTACTGATTCAAGAAACCATCTTTTAAGGGTTCTCTAAAGAGCAAAACTATACTATTGCATAGTTATTAATGGAAAATCCATTAATTCTAAGTTTTATGAATGGGAACAAAGGTGTTTGCAGTTTGTATTCCCTACGCTTATGAAACCTGAAGTTCCAAGTTTCTTCCTTTACATATTCCTTCTGCTTTTTCAATAACTGATTATCAGAAAATATAAAGTAAAAGCCTATCCCAGAAGCCCAGGAACTGTCAAGCACTTTTGTGTCATGCTTATTACTAATTCATCCAAGATGCTGTGTGTGTGTGTATATGTGTGTGTTATGCGTGGGAGGGGTTGCTCTGTGGGAAGTCACAAAATGCAACCGTCTAAGAAAATATTTTCTTTCCAGCTGTATAGGTCTTTTTTAGGCACATTTGCAATAAAGCTTTAGGATTTTTCTTTAAACTTTTTTAATGTTTCTTAATGATTACTTAACGAAAATTATGAATGGACTATTAAAAGTGGTGTCTTTCCAGCAATGCCTTTGCATTGTGGAAGGTGGAATGTTGGTTAGAAATATTTAATTGGAACTTCTGGAAGAACAGAACTAGAAGTTGTTAGGAAATCTAAAGGTCCCTTAGCAGGACATGCAGAATCCCCGACTTCAAAGGGCTGCCATACCTCTGTGGACAAGCAATCCCTAATGTTAGCAGTTAATAAAACTAACAAGTTGCAAATAATAGATGACTGGTCTACTGAAAAGTCAAATCTCGATTTTGCTTTCAGCAAGCATAGAGATTTTTAATCTGCCCTAGCGACAGTCACCTATTGATTGCAATGATATTTGTGTCCCTGCTTTTGGAAGCAGTTTTTTTCAGAGCCAAGATTGGAAAATTGGACCCTTGAAGTGACTGTGTGTCATCAGCAGCTGGCAGGCCTCTCCAGAAAGAATCTTGAAACCTGGGGTCACTCTCTTCTCATCTATGGACAGACCCAATAAAAAGTGCTCCCCTCTGCCTTCTGAAGTTCTTTTCAATAATGCCATCCCTGTTGGTCCACGAAGAAGTGAAGAAGCTTCTCTAGAACTCTTGTGGTACCCTCTCAAAGACAAAGGGTGAAATGCTCTGCCAGCACCCAATATACCACTTTCTTTCCAGGCCAGATTAATGCTCTGCCAGGTTCACAGTTCAGCTGAGGGGCAAAACATGGATTTCAAAGATCAGAGCCTCCTCAGTCCTTTCTTACCCTAGAACTTCCCTAGGGATAAAGTATCTTAACTGCCCCAGAGAAGGCAGGGGTGGGGGCGGAGAGGGGGGTTTGCTGGCTTGGCTCAGAGGGCAACAACACAATCCTGGACCACGTCTGTGTGGTTCAAAGCGCCATGACTCAGGACAGCTTCCAGCTGCAAAAGGTGAGTGGCACTGAGACCACTGTGGCAATGGGGATCTTGGTCCGCGCGCGCGTGTCCGTGTGTATGTGTGTGATGTATAAAACCAAAACCAAACTCACTGCCATGGAATTGGATCCGAATCCTAGCGACCCCTCCTTGGGTTTCCGAGGCAGTATCACTAGGGAAGTAGATTGCCCAACCTGCCTTCCAAGGAGTGGCCCATGGGTTTGAACCTCCAGCCTTCTGGTTAGCAGGCTAATGCCTTAGGCACTATGCAACCAGGGCTCCTGTGTGGTGTATGCGGGGGGGGGGGAGTAAAAGGGGTACATAGTAAGGCCGAGGTCCCAAACAGCCCCTTCCCCCAACATAGACTGCTTAGTAACCCAAGCACAGGCAAAAGCCAATTCGTTTTCGCTCTCATTTCTCAAGTTCACACTCAAGTTCAACTCAGACTCTCACAAGACCTCTGAAGTGGCCTGAATCTTTTCTCATCCCATCCTTAAAGAGCAACCACTGATGTCGTGGAAGGGCATTGCTTTAGATAAATACAAAGCACCGTGAAGGAGAGAGAGTAAGGGAGCAGAAAAAGGGGGTGAATGGCAAGAGATTGAAACTCTGCTGCGGGTTCCACCAACCGTTTCTCTCACTCTTCACTTCCAGGACGCTGCCCAGCTGCCTCCCAAGTTACAACTTGTCATGAGCAAGTCTCTGTAGCCTGGAGAGGGTCGTGTCCTTGACGAGGGTGTGGGCTTACACCTGGTTTCTCAAGATTGGCAAGAAGATAGTGCCTGGCTTTCAACCCTTCAAACTTCTAGAGTCTCGGAGCCTGGCTAGTAGGCAGCACCATCGCAAAGCAGAGGTGCCCTGCTAATTGCTCCTTCAGGAGCTGCGCGATCAAGCTACAACCAGGCCTGCCTCGCGCCACTCTCCTTTCCACGATGTAAGGACTGTATGAGCGGCTTTCATGCCCAGATCGTAGTGCAAGATAGGAGCTAAAGAGACGTGTGGTTTTAGACCTTTGGAACCTATGAATCCACCTATGTGAGGAAGGTTGGAAGAACAAAATAAAGGTAAGGAAGATATGGCAGCCCTAGACTAGAGAGAGTGGAAGCAACCGAAAAGAGAGTTAATCGGGAGGTGAGATGGGACGGGGGAAAAGGGAAAAAAAGACCGGAGCGTCTCTCACTAAGTAAAGCTCCGTACTGTCCAGATGCAGATGCCGAGTTTCCCAAAACAATTCGGGCATTTGAGCACATGACCAACCCAAACCAGGGCACACACACTCAAATACACGGGATCTCACTCCCAGTGCGCTGGTCAGTCAGCCCCCCTCCACCGGGACATTCCTGTCTATTCTCTACAACCCACCGACAAACAGGATCCTCTCGCTCAGATACTCCTCCTTCCCCCTCTTGCCACATCCCAGCGCGCAGCCTACTAACCCAATCTGGCGTCCAGGCTTGGGTTCACCGCGTTCTGGGGATGGGGAGAAGCGCACAGCCGCCTCGGGGACGCTCCTCGAGGAGGGTTGGGGAGTGGGCGGGGGGGAAACACTGCCCCGTGGCAGTGAAGCGGGTTTACTGCCCAACTCTCCAAAGTGCTTCCTGCCCAGAACACCTCTCGCATTGTCAGGGATGCCAGAAGGTCCAGAGCCGGCTGTGTCCCACTTTCAGTTGCTAAGATGTAGACGAAAGTGGGAAGGGAGTGAGAGAGACCCAGAAAACCTCAGGGTGGTCATCAAGCGAGATTGAAGGTGACGCTTGGGAGTACACAGAGGCTTGCTGAGATGCCCATAGCATGCAGGCACTGTCCTGCTATCCAAGAGTGAAGATATGGCTAAGCAAAAAAAAAAGAGGGGCCCCGTCGCAGGGTGCAGGAACCCTGAAAGTACCTGGTACAGGCAAAGAGGAGACGGACAAAGTGACTCCCGGAAGCCGAAAGGCCGGAGAGTAGTAGGAGCAGTTGTCTCGCCCAGCTCTCAGCGCGCAGCACCGCGCAGGCCAGCCGGCCAGGGCCTGCAGCCGCTGTCGCTGTCGTGCGGTCTTGGCCCAAGTGAGCGCCCATCAATGCCTCCCGCAGCTGCCCTTTATTTAAAAAATAACTCAGGACCCCTGCTTTCCCTCCAGGAGTAGCGCTGACTCTCCTCGCCTCCGGAACTCTCTCCACCCAACTTTTTCGGGGTCACGCTCTTCCTCGGGCCGCGCGGGCTCCGGCACGCGGACCTGTCGAGGGCGCAGCGCCGGAGCTAGAGGCACGCGCCGGGGAAGGTCTCCGCAGCCGTGTCTGGCTCCAAAACACCGCCTCTCTGCCTCCCAGTCCCACAAGGGGACGTGTCCGCTGGTCGGGACGCTGAGGGGCTGTGTAACCTAGCAGGTGTCTGCGCCCGCACGCGCCCTCTCCGCCGCCCGCCGGACCCGGGACCATTGCGTGCGGGGGCTTTCAGATGCTTCTGCGGAGCGACGTCCCTTTCCCGGCCCTTCCTCCCTCCCGCGTCCGCTTCCGCGCCCGAGAAACACGCGCAGAAAAGATTCAGTGCAACTCGAGGACTCGGAGGAGGCAACAAACAACACTCCCTTCTCCAAAAAGCGCCCTCCCGCGTCCCTCCAGAACTCCCGAGAGGTATCAACATCTTCCTACAACTTTCTACGCCGAAGCCATTTGCAGTCCCATCTGCGACGCGAACTCGGGGAACTGCGCCCTGCCAATCTCTGCCCCCTTCCACTGGGTGACCTCCCCTCCCCCCACCTCTCCATCTGGCTAGACTTGGCCGGACCCGGCGCCTCGGTGCCGGCGAGCTCGCTTACCTCGCATGGTGTAGCCGCTCTCCTGCTCCGCGTAGTCATGAAGCTGCTCCCAGCCCGAACCCCGGAGAGCCCAAAAATCCCCGCTCAGCACGAGTGCACAAGGTGGTCGACGAAGGGCTGCTCTGCCGAGAAAACCATCCCTTTAGGCGGACGACGAGGCCAGAGGGTGACGTTTGCCGCCGCCGCTGCTGTTATGCTAACAGTTTGGATGATGGTGGTGGTGACTGTTTTGTTTTGATGGTTGTTTGTTTGTTTGTTTGTTTTCAGGAAGAGTGAAAAAAAAAATGTTCTGGCTGGCTAGTGCCTAGGTTTTGTTTTGTTTTTTCCTTTTTTCCTTCTCTCCAATGTGCTTGCTTTTTAAAAATGCCACCGCCTCCGGCTCAGAAGATTTCTTTTGTGATCACTTGGACTGAGGAGGAGGAGGACGGGCAGCAGCAGGAGGAGGAGTTGGTGGTGGTTTTGTTAGTTACAAAGAAGAGAGAGAAGGAGCAAGGGGGGGGAAAGGAAGCAGAAAGAAAAGAAAGGCGGTGTGGATGGCAGAGCATGTGCGTTTTCACATGACATCTGTGCCTGTTAGCGGATCCACAATGTGAATTTTCACTGTTCAGTTACAGGGAGGAAGGGAGCGAAGAGAGACAGAGAAGAGAGATGCAGAGAGAGAGTCGCGAAGGGGTTTATACGCCAGGGCGGGTTTGGCCCGGACTTCCAGGCTCCGCCTCCTGTCAGCGCTGCCGCCAATCGGCGCCCGCGGGGGCGGGGATCCTATTGGAGGCGGAGAGGAGGGGGGGTGTAAGGGACGCTGGAGCCAGAGGCGGCCGGAGCTAGAATAGGCACTGTCCTAACTGGGCAAAAGAGGAGGACCGACAGACCGAGGAAGTCGGGCAGATCTGCAGGTGACAGTCACTTCCGATTCCAGCAGGAGGGAGGAGAACACTGGTCAGTCCTTCGGAGGCGAGAGACGAGAGGTTCCCCGGGTCCCACGGTCTGTCCCTTTCTCGAAACGCTTCCAAGCCGCGGACAGTTAGTTTTGAATTTATGGACTCTCTCTGCCAGTCCTTTTTGGTAAACTCTGCACCCCTGGTAGGGTGGAATCATGCAAATCCACTTCCATCACTTTTTGCACAACTGAAGTGCGGTCCCGTGCAAGTGGTAGACCTCTTCCTTTAAAAGCATCTTTCAGATGCCCCTCCCTCCTTAACAAACAAAAAACTGACAGCTTTCATCTTAAAAAAAATTGCTTATCTTTTTTCAAAACGTATCTTTATTAGCATGTGTCGAATCCGTGGGAGATGGGCTAGAGGACTCAAAGATAACAGCTCACATTGGTCATTGTGGCCACTCTAGTGATATGGGCGTCAAAGGGGCAAAAGGAATGAGGGTGTGGGTTTTGCTCTATTTGATGAAGATGCAGAACTCCAGGAGAAGGAACTAACTATTAATCTTAGTTGTTACGAGAAATCATTTACCTATTTAGAAGAGGTTGGCAATTAACTACAAGTGCTACTTGTATTCTTTAGGTGAAAATTATAATTTACGCCCACTTATTCATATTTTAATACTAATACAATGCACATAAGGAAAACTATGCTTTTGCAAGACTTCCCCCCTCAATGGACAAATAAATATATCACACAGATGGTTACATCTACTTTCCTCTCTATAGTAGGGAGCTTCTTAATACTTTGGCTAATAGACCACCCTGAAAGACAGGGAGGTGAAACAATTGGGAAAAAAAAAAAAAAAAGCTCACTTTTAAGACATTGAGGCTTCTACTCATTAGTGTACCTGTTGGCAGAGCAGGCCTCATCATTAAACCATCTAAATAATTTGATTTTTACTAGTATTTACCCATGCTATGTCAGGAAAACACAATATACAATGTAAAATTGGCAACGATTTAGTTAATTAGATCACTCTATACTATCGAAGTAGATTCTTTTTCCCCCTGATTAAATAAAAAATGGATTACTTGCTGAATCTTCCCTAGTGTTAAATTGATGTGGTTTGCTGTATGCCCTCCCATTTGCAAGGCAATGTGTAATTTAGGAAATTTTTATTATTAAGATTGAAAGCTGATTGACTCATTAATTAAATGAAATGAACAAAAGGAAGTTACTGTTCAGAATAGTTACTTCGTTATAAATACCTTTCCCCTAGATTTGTAATTGACACAGTAGTTAATCTTTTAAGATAATATTTAAGGCTCCCTGGTTTTATCATTTTTAATCAAGTAAAATATATTCATCATAACTACATTAAAGCTGTACTAAGTTATGCCTAATTTAGTTGCTTCATTAAAAATTACTGAATATAAAATAGTCAAGACTCAAATTGTGACTGTATCATTTTAATTTTATGTGCTTCAAGCTGACACAGGAATGTTGAAAATTCCAAGTCCTTTGTAAACATTATAATTATTATTGTTGTTTTTATTTGATATTTATATTTCTTAGTGGGGAAAGAAGAATTTCAAACTTCAAGAATTTTAACTCTTTCATGTAGTCTTAAATTTTAAAACATTCACTGAATTCTGAAATTTCTTTTTACTGCTTAAATATCTGTAATCCTTAAAAGAGTAGTCAACACATATATGAAAAGTACTTTTTTCCCCTCTAACATATTTTGGGGAGCTCTGGTAGCATAGTGCCTAAGGCACTTGACTGTTAACCAGAAGGCTGGCGGTTCAAACCCACCAGCCACTCCTCAGAAGGAAGGTTGGACAATCTACTTCTGTAGTGATAAAACCTCAGATAGCCAAAGAGGGGTCGCTATGAGTTGGGTCTGACTCGAAGTCACATAACAACGACAACATATTTTTGTGTGTCCTTTGTGTGTTCGAAAGAGTGCTGGTGGCGTAGTGGTTAAAGTGTTTGGCTGCTGTAAAAAGTGGGTGGTTCAAACCAACTACTCCAAGGGAGAAAGATAAAGTAATCTGCTTGTGTAACAGCTTACAGTCTTGGAAACCCTATGGGGCAGTTCTACTGTGTCCTATAATGTTGCTATGAGTCGAAATCAAATCAATGGCAGTGGATTTGTTTTTGGTTTCGTGTGTTTAAGAATGTATAATTTTACTTAGGGATATATCACACATTTCTTAGTCACTTCTGAACATCACTGGGAAAATTGTCCATTATAAATAAAGGCAATAAATGTTATTTCCTTTTTCAAAACTGTATATGTAATATATTACCTATATGGTAATGTGCAAGGTTTTTGTTTGTTTGTCTGTTTGTTTTCTTCCCTCTCTCTTTTAGAGTGAAATGAATGCTGAACATTGGTTATTGTTTGGTTATCCGAGTTGTCTTAGTTACCAAGTGCTGCTGTAACAGAAATACCACAAGTGGATGAGTTTAACAAACAGATACTTATTTTCTCAAAATTTAGGAGGTGAGAAGTCCAAAGTCAGGGTGTCAGCTACAGTGCACGCTTTTCTCTCTCTGTTGGCTCTGGAGGAAGGTCCTTGTCTCTTTCAGCTTCTGCTCCTGGGCTATCTTTGTGAGGGTCGGCATCTTTCTTCTATCTCTTTTTGGTGGCTTGAGTTTAAGCTATTTTATACCTCCAAAAAGATCGACTCAAGAGACACCCTTCACTAAGCCTGTCTCATTAATATAATAAATAAACCTCATTAGAAAAATTGGATTATATAACCACAGGCATAGAATTTAGGATTTGCAACACATTTTTGGAAGCCAGTTCAATTCATAACATGGGTCATCCAGTTATCTTCTTAAGAATTTAAAAACTAAGTTCTTGAGTATTTCCAAATACCTTACAAATTTATTTTAACTAGATGGGACCTATTTAAGTAAAATAAATATTCAGAATTGAAATGAAAGAAATCAACATTTTCTAAATTACGAAATACTTATATATAACCTGATGTTTTGTAACTTATATGAAAACAAATATCCATATTGCAAGTGACATAATAATGATATGCTAGTATTATCATCCTTGTTCATATGAAGTACAGTGTGATTTTATTTGAATAATTATGAACCTGTCTGGTTTCCTATAAGCTTGAAACTTTGCTTTTGACTCTGGGCCTGAAGGATATTTTAAGTTGTAGCAAGATTTTGATAAATTTATATGACAATCAATAAGTCACATAGCCCGGTACTTAATCTCAAGGATTGATATAATTTTACTCAGGCTTCCCTGTTGCTTGCTTCCTCCATATATCACCCTCCTCAGCTATGAGGCCATGGAGTAATGATGACAAGAAATATTTTGACCAAGGAGAAGTTTTAATATGAGCCAACTAGGTAGGGTAATCATGAAAAAAAAAAAAAAGTATTTCAGTCTTAAACTACTTGAAGCAAAATAAGTAGCAATGGCTCACTATAGTCTGAATTGGTCAGTCTCTATAGACAGGGCATTTTAAATAATTATGAATGTTAGAGGGACATTGACAGTACTGATAACAATATTACACAAGGAATGACGGAAAGATTGAGTGTATCTAATTCTGCTTAGGGAGTGGTAGTAGATGTGAAAGTTGCAAAAGAGACATAAAGTTGCCTTTAAGTATTGAAAAAGGCAGAAAAAATGTAAGAACTTAACAGTTGAACTTATTAAAAATAAAAAGGGTAAAGTAGTGAGCTCCTTATTGCTGGAAACATCCAAATAAGAGCTGAATGAAAGATTCTGGGAAAAGTGCTGTAGTAGACATGATCGTGCAGTAGTAGACATGATCGTGCAGTAGGTGGAAATTATCTGGATAATCTCAAGATCTTCCGTAACTCTAAATATATCTGTATGTAGGCCATGACCACTGTCCCAGCACTTGTAGCAGACAAGGGCGTTTTCCCCTGGAACGCAAGCTTCATCAGAGTAGGAGCCAGGATATCCCTAGAGTTTGGAAAAGCTGCTGGAACTTTGTAGTACTTTATAATTATTAGTTAAATGAGTGCATTCTACTCCTTTGCCCTCTGGATCTGAACCAGAAATGGAGCAAAGATATGAATACGATTTCTTTTTTTTTTTAGCATCTAATGAAAAGATAAAGAGACAGAAAGAAAGAAAGAGAGAGAGATGGCATTTTAAACTCTTCTCATTTGGAGAAAAGAAAAATGATGTTTGAGGTTGGTTTCGTAATTCTTAAAGAAAACCGAATTTAGTTATTTTTATATTTATGTATATTTTCAATTTTATCCCCGAGTGGAGAGTCTTCACAATCTTTTCGCACTTTAGCTTCTGTTTCATTTTAAAGTATGGATAAAAGTTTAACATATTTTCTAAATGAAAAAAAGAAAGCAAATTTTAAGAATGTGTAGTTTGTACTTTATGTAATAAACTAGAAAATGTGTTACTGGGACAAAACATAAGATTAGCCCTAATATGTGGGATAACACAGTGAGTAAGATAAGCATTAGGAAAACAAGAAACACAGGTCAGGGGAAAAAGAGCTAACATTTGTCACGTGAATCACATGATCCAACAGCCTAACTTCTCATTCTTACAAAAGCCTACATGTATTACATTCTCTCCCATTTTTCAAACAAGCAAACAAATAAAGAGTTAATGAAACAGAGACTGAGAAAGGTTAAGTAACTTATTTGACTACAAATATAAAAATGCTGGATTCAGGATTCAGAAGCAGATCTAGCCACTGAAATGTAAGTTCCATGAGTGTAGGGACTTTCTTGA